TTTGCACCCCAGCCCCTTTTGCGGATACAATGGAAGCTTTGGCTTGCTGTTGCTCTATGCTAAGTAGTTGAGAACCCTCTTTGAGAAGTAGTTAGCCAGGGAAGGGCAGCGAAGCTTACCGGATTGCCACCACAACACAGTCAGCACTTGCAGCCCAGGGAACCCTTGCTGAACCAAGTTGCAACCCCCCGATAGCCAAGTTTCGATCAGAATAGTCGTGGTGGCAAAGCCGGCCCAAATAACTCATCGATTGCAAATCACAAACATAGGGCACCTGAGACCGAAGCTGAAGCGGGCTGAAAAAGTGGCTCGGATTCGCTACACATTGGGAGCCAGCTCCTTGATGTCCAAGGCACAAATCTAGATCCGTTGTAACCAACGAGATGAAGTCAAAATCCTCCGGATCTTTGCATCGCCATATCGTTGCTTGATGCCGCCATCTAGACGAGGAGCTCCCATCCCTGCGAGCGAAATGCAATGATACAGGACCACGGAGTCAAAGACAATGTGAAAACTGATGCACCCAACTCAAAGGAAACGTACATCTTCCAAGCTCTGAAGCACTCAACTTCCACAACCCCGGCCTCGCCGCTCGTGACTGCAGCAGTCGCCGTTGGCGCCGTAGGTGCTGTAGCCTTCGGACAAGTTTTGATATTATTCAGCAAAGCACAGAATGGTAAATTCACAGTGGCATCGAAGGATGTGTGCAGGCGTGGCACCACTGGCACTGGCATCGGAGCAATCGGTCGGGTCACAAACAGATCGCCCTCCTGACGAGGCTGAGATGAGCAAGGTTTTTATTTCTGAATCAATGGGTCAAGGGATGTCTCATATGCGGAATTAAAATGAACTCGGCCTCGAAGTTCATCTCCACCCGCGGGGATTTGAACAGCACTTGTCCAATCTCGGTGACCAAGAAGCAGGAGTCGATGTCCTCAGAAAAATGGGCGAATCAGGAACATTCCTTAGAGCGGCCTTGTGCAAACACTCCTGTCTTGTTCCGGGCCTGCTCAATCATATCATGAGCAATCCTGTCGAACATCCGCGGAATGTTCGCAGTCAGCAGCTCGTTGACAGTCCGTCGATGTCGGAGCAGAATCACCTCCACGACCTCATCACACACCCAGTGCATTGCATCATCCAGGCACCAACCCCAAAGCACAAGCCACTGGACAGCTGCAGACATGCTAAGGCGAGCAGACATAAAGGCTAGTGGCTCCATAAACATAAGTGCCCGTGATCTCGTCGGTGGTGTGGCGTCGATATGGAAATGCAGCATTCACTCGCCGGTGGCTTCGTGCCGTGAACCTGAGGAAAGCGGAACATCAAGAAAGTACAACACTGATTTCAAGCGGGGCTTCAATTATGCAATCGGGCAGCAGTGGCCCCAGGTTCCTCGCCATGTGCTTTGCACCATTGATGACAAGCTTGTCAGTTCCGCATAGAACAGTCGGTGTCCTGGGATATCGAATCAATCCGTAATGTGTGGCACGAATGCCACAGGAAAGACCTCAAACTCCAACCCAACCACTGCAAACCAAGCAGCTGCTTCGTGGCTCCAAAAGAGGACATCGTGAATATCGATGTCTCAAAGGATAGCTGCTTTGCAACCTCCTGAATGAAATCGCCCGTGATTCAAACCAACTCTTAGAGATATGTACGAGTGTGCAGTAGCTCTGTCCTTGAAGCAGTTGTGCTGCTGCAGCTCACAGAAGCGATCGTACTTCAAATGCAGGATGACTCGCACTTTCATCGTGTAGCAAAGCTTTAGCAGTTCGCTGAGGAAGCCCTCAGCTGAGTAAAGAAAACACAAAACACAAAACAAACATGAACGGTATTGGCCAACATGGAGCAAAGAATCGACCAGCTCTGGCATCGATCCTCGTTCTTCTCTGGAGCGGAAAGGCCTCAGAGAAGAAATACCGTGAATGGTTTCCGAAGCGACCCTGCGAGATCCGATAATGCATCGAGGCACATGCAGTAGAAAAGGCCGCCCGGGAAGACTCGTGTGCACATCTGCAAACCTCAGAGAATTCCCAAGGATCTAATGTTTCAGTGAGACAGAACAAACAGCCCACAAACGACCTGAAACCTCAAGATTTGCAAGCGGGAGGCAAAGATCCTGGCCTTCCTGGGTGCAAAGCCCCTCGCCGGCTCTCGTTTCAGAGAGCTGTGCACACGAAATGTTCTCCTGGGCGGACGAATGGAGTGCGAACCGCGAATATTAGCGACCCCAAGCATTTAATGAACTGTCATACAGCAACAAACTCAGCAGAGCACCGACTCAAGCGCCCGACACAAGCTCGAAGAGGAGTAGTCCAAAGCATGGATGAACCTTTCCCTCCTCATGCAGCTCGATCCCGGGACGAAGAAGCCCTCATCCAAGAGCCACGGAGCGACCTTCTCCGCTCGCTTTTCGAAGGCCGAGGAGAACATTGCAAAATGCAATGAATGGATGCTATGTCTGCCCAATGATCTGTCCGTCTGAAATGTAGGATGTGAAGCTGCTGTGAAATGCCTCTGATTTTGCCTCTTGAAGTCGGATGCCTCTGATCTGTCAGTGTTTCTCATGCCAACCAATGTAGCAATGTATGCGAAAACAACTCAACGAGCCAGCACGCATTTCCGTTAGAAACACGTTGCCTGAGCTAGCATGCGATTCGAGATCTCTGAGAAAAGGCCCCGAAACCCTAAAACCCTAAAGCGGCCCTTAACCCTTAGTAGAGTTTAGGGTTTAGGGGTTTAGGGGCTAGGGTATTAGCCCTTTCTCTAAAAAAGTCGCCGCCGGCGGCGCCAGAAACTGCCGCCAGGCTCGGACCAAACTGCCAAAGCGGCGGCGGCCTCGGAGCTGCCCCGAGCACAAGGCTAAGAGCTTAGGGTTAAAAGGGTTTCAGGGTTTAGGGTTTAGGGGTTACTAAGAGTTTACTTAAAGGATCAGGGGACTTAGTAACTGGGGGTTACAAATCATGTAACAATACTTATAACCACTTATAAGCGCACTTAAGGTACTTATAACCTCACTTACTAAGTCCCATGATCCTCCTGGAGTTACCCCAATTATAACCCTACATATAAACGACTTACTAAGTCCCTTGCCCTTCCAAGTAACGTTTAAGGTTCAGAGTTTACGCTCTCGCAACTCGGGCAAGCCAGGCGAGGTCTCGGTGTCCAGAGTACTTTGACTTGTGTGTGGCAGCTGACAGCCAGTTAGGGTTTAGATTTTAGGGGTTTAGGGCTTTTTAGGGTTTAAGGTTTAGGGCAATGTTAAAATTGATGTTGTGGGCTTGTTTTTGCTTTTCGGGTTTCAATGTCTAGTTTAGGATTTGGAGTATTTACGGTTTAGGGCTTTAGAGGGTTTAGGGTTCAGGGCTTTCAGCTTTTGTTCTCGTTGTGGTTCGTTTAGATTCCATACACTAGATGACTAACGGTTTAGGGTTTAGGGGTTTAGGGTTTAGGGTTATTGCTATTTTTATTCAAGATGAAACGGCACTCACCCTTGCGCCCTCGCATGCAGCAGGCAAGGCTCCACGAGTCTCATCCTCAAGCTACACACACTATCACTACAGGGTTCAGGCTTTCTTTTGTTGTTTAGATTCTAGTTGGAGTAAGTTCCATACTCTGGGCTTTAATGTTTGTCGTGTTTGTCATATTGTGTTCCTGTTCAGTCAGAGTTGCAACTGTGTTGCTTCAGGGTGTGCTTTGATGGATAAAACGGGCGCTGGTGCTGCTGTGATATAACATCGGCAACCTGCTAAATGCATGTAAGCGGGCTCCCAGGATCAGAATTTGCAGGGATGCGTTCTGGCTTTAGTGCCCCTCATGCGTTCAGAACTGCTTGAGTTTTTGGCGGCTGTGGGCTCCAAAATGCAACTTAGCAATGAGCACCCTTCCAGCTCAGGATGAAGATTGACCTGCCCAACTGCCCAATAAGGTGGCTCTATTGCCACCAGAAAAAGTTACCGGCAACCCACATCAATGTGCTTATCGTGCGGTGTTTGGGGGTCTGCCCGGAAGGAGCCATTTATAGCATTACTTGGGCTATCTTAGCTCTCTGTTCAGATATTACCCGAAACCCGACTTCAGAATCTCAAGCTCGATCCTCCTACTTGTCGGGTATCATGGGGAGCTAAGGGCTAACCTCCTTGGGTTGTATAAGGATTATATAGGTTGAGTACTGCCGCCATACAGTAAGAGTCTATAATCGGGCTACTATTCAGTTCCTAATATATCTATATTATGAAAATTATTCAACTATTACTGAGTGGGGGCCGTACCCAATATATATATATATATACACATATATATATATATATATATATATAGGGACTATACTACCCAAAAAGTTGAAGGTTCCCTGCTCTACTACTAGGTCCAAGTTGCAGCACCCCTTGAACTTCTCGGTGTACTCCACTGCCTCTGACAGTCTTTGGAAAGATCGCCTGGCGGCTAAGGAGGCTTCGGCTTATGGCAGCATCTGCCTGATTATGGGCATCATGTGTGATGGTGCAAGGTTTAGTTTAGGGTTTTCAAGCTTTAGGGTTTAGGGCCGTCCAAGTTGTTCGGGGTTAGGACTGGAGTGCCTAGAAAGAAAAACCTAGTCACTTACCCCATATAGTCTCGATGCGATTGTACATCTGCCCCAAAACCTTGTTCGA